ATCATGCTCCTTATAGAATATACGGCGCTGAATAAACAAAAGAAACCAATGGTTCTTTGCCTTATATCTCCTTTTTTGGTTGAACTTAACAGCAACTGCGCCACGGCTTCACACCCGATGCTAGCATTCATTTATTGACCAAGCCCCCGTGCTTAGGATACATATTCTACCGGTTATTACCTGATATACAATCACATCGTTCCGATACTGTTTTTTTTTTTTTTTTTTTTGAGAATTCATGAGTAACAGTAAAAAATAATAATCAAAGACCCGGTAAAAAGTATCTATCCTTGTTTCTTTTTTTCCAGGGATTTTATTGACCTTATTTTTTTATCAAAGTTTTTTTTTCTGTTTACTATTATAGCCATCGATTTTGGTGATGTGCATACATAATTTGAACTTTTATGGTTCTCATTACAGCATTTTAGACAAAAAAAAAAAAAAAAAAAAAAAGAAAAAAAAAACAATCAAAAAAAAAAAAAGTGTTCAGGCAGAGGTCTTCGTTAACTCGTCGCAACCCATAACCGTAATTCTTTTTTTTTTTTTTAGTCGTTTAATCGGAAAGTGATCTAGCAATGTTTTTTTTTCTGCCCCACACTGCCACTCCCAAAATACAAAACTGTCACACACAACTGCAATAGTGATAACTCTACCGTTTGAAAAGTGCATGGTTTTATTGACATTATATAAATATTAGAATGCCATATTTCTAAATAAACCTTTTATAATGTGCTGTGCTGTAGTGCGTCGCTCATCGGTTTCCATCCCCAAACTAAAAATTTCACTTTAACGAAAAAAGGTCACCGGTTTGTACGAGCATAAAGCTCCTCTATGGTCAAACGTGCTCAAAATACACACACACACAACTCTTCCTCAACGACTTCGCGCACGCAACGAAAATTTTGTATTCGCGCCTTGTGATAAATGGGGAGCGTTAAGGTCCTATAAAAATTATATATATATATAAAAGCGTCCGGTTTTTTATGCCTTGTCTTTACTTCACTTTCATTTGCAACCGCCTTCTGTTTGCTGCTGCATAAACAAAGTACAAATTGTGGTGGTCTGTGTGTTTCGTTTACAAACTTTACCTATTTGTTAAGAATCATTTCAAAAAAAAGATAAAAAAAAAAAAAAAAAAAAACAAAATTCTGTGAACAAAACACAAACTTACGCACGTTCTTATACACGCACACATACCACTCTTACAACCTTATCACACGCTCTCCAAAACTCACACCTCTTTCTTTATTCCTACTCAGCCACCACCTCTCACTTCTCTTTCAAACTATTTCTTTTGTGATCTGTTGTTCTTCCCTAATAACCTCCTACACAATATTTCTTGTAAAGACCGAAAAAAAAAAAAAAAGGTTTACTAAAAATATCAACAACTTTTGGAACGAAACAACAAGGTCACGTTGTAACCATCTGTCATGACAGCGAATGAGCACATTTGTAATACTTTGACCAGTATAATGCCTTCCCAATCAAACGAGATGTTATCTTATGAAGTTTTTGCTGAAAATCCCTCACATGTAACGAATTGTCCAGAGGGGGAGCCTCTCTTTCAAGAAGAAACGGGCAAGTATGATCTCGACACAGTATCGGTGTTCGTAGCAAAGTTATATCAGTAAGTTTTTTCTTCTTTTCAACCCTCTAAAGCACTTAAGGTATCTTAAGTACCTTAAAGTACCTTAAAGTATTTTAAAGTGGTAATACTGTATAAAGACTAAATAAACTTTCGTGCAGAAAATTTCCGACTTGCCCTTATTCATATCTTGTCTTTTTGAAGCCAAATTATTTTAGTTGATTTAATTGATCTGATTTTTAATGTTATCAAGGATCAATATTGACTTTGCTTATAATATATTCTAGGTTGCTTGATGGTGACGAATATAAGGAATACCTTACGTGGAACGAAACGGGAGATGTGTTTGTGATTTGCAATATGGATGAATTTGCACAGAATGTTTTGCCAAAATTTTTCAAACATTGCAAATTCACATCATTCGTCCGACAACTTAATGTACGACATCTTTACTTTTTTTTTTTATTGATTCCTTTTTACTATAAAGCCAAAATCTAATGAATCTAATGGCTTTTTTTTTTCAGATCTATGGATTTTATCGAGTATCAGATGCACGCAAATCAAAACATGTCCGTAGTAAACACGCTTGTGTATTTTCTCATTCACAATTCAGACGTGGTCGACAAGATTTATTACCAAATATACGTCGCAAAGTATCGAAAACCATAAGAAGGAAACCACGTCTATCTGAATCTTCAATGTCACAGAATCAAGGAGAATCTGGGCCTACATCTTCGTCATCCGTTTATGGATCCCCTGTCAATAGTAAATCTGGAAGTATAAAAGATTCACCATCCCATTCAACCTTGAATCCTTTTGCGGATTCTAAGGATTTTGTGGATAGATCTGATAACGATCTTGCAATGCGTAAAAGAATTGCTGAATTGACGATGACTACCGAAAATTTGCGAAAGGATTTAAAGCATATGAATAGCATCGTCAACGATCGTTTAATTCCGGAAGTTCGTAATTTGACAGAGGATTTACAAAAGCATCATGCTCATGTTATACAATTGACCCAGTTGGTTTACCATACTTCACCGGAAAGTACGTGTTAAAATATTAAATATATATATATAACAATAAAAATAATAATAAAAATAACGATAATAATAACGATAATAACGATAATAATAATTATCATTATTATTATCGTTATTTTTATTATTATCTTTTTTTTTATTATCGTTTTTAATTATAGAATTATCTAATTCAATTTCATTCAATTTAATTCAATTTAATTCAATATTGATTTGCAGGTATTCAATTACTTCAGGAAGTTAGTCGTGGGTATACTAGACCATTATCATCATCACAACATGATATACCGTCGTCAAAACGTATACGTTATGATGATAAACAGACGTCTGTTAAGAGTGAACAGTCTAGCTTGACATCACCGTCTGTTCAGAATGCACCAACAGTGCCTTCATCGATTCCTTCTAATTATGGTGTCTATACAACTCACCAAAGCCATCCTGGAAATAACTTAATAAGTGGCAATGACTCTTCAATCACTGGTTCGTCAATACAACCGACACCCTCAGTGTCTCAATCCTTAACTATATCACCAGATTCACATCCTGCATATAGTATGTCAGGATCTTCTATTATTGGAGATTTTCAACATTCCTCCCATAACGCTCACCCCGGTCTTACAGGTTATAACGAACCCTGGAATACAACGCCTGTCTTGATACAGGATCCCGTCAATACTGTTCCAAGCTCGAATATGTCTTCTTTTTTATTTCCTGCGACGACAACATCACATTCTCCATTAGTGTTTAATAATAATTCTTCACCCCATCAACAACAATCTCCTCCGCACTCTCAACATTCGCAACAACATTCGCCTGCATCTTCGATAGGTTCATTGAGTCCTACCGAGTATGTTAGTAACGCTGGTGCTGTAAACACAGGTGATATTATTTCGAATGTTGTTGCTGCCACCGCAAATTCAAATGATAGTCATAATAGTGGTGAAAATAGTCCTCATCAACATGGAGATGTCATAGTTGCCGTCTCACCATCGTCAACTACATCGTCATCCCCGATCTCTACGTCCGCAACGATGCCAAATTATTACCAATCCAATTCGATCTTACCATTGGAAATTTATAATCCCTCTTATGAGAATTATAATTAATTTATGTATTATAATAGTATGTGGCGGTTACTGATTTGGTCGTTTGGGCTCCGATTCATTGGTTTTTTTGGTTGGATATATATATATATTATTATTATTATTATTTTTATATTTGATGGACAATGGTTGACAACTTACCAAAGAAAGCTGGGCTTTTCTCTTGGAAGTATTGACGGGTTCCCCGCCCGCTTCTATTTTAATAATTAATGTCTTCTAACACATTTATTTTCCCCCATTTATCATCCATAGCGTGTGTGACATTTATTTTAATGACCGCAGAAGTTATGTATATTTCTGCACATAAAACTTCTTTTCATGATTTTCCTTTTTAAAAAGAAGGCAATGACAAAAAATTTTTTTAAGTGTGTGTGTGTGTGTTTTTAACTTTTTTGTTATGGCACTTTTTTTTATTGTACATATTGTACATGTAAAAAATTTCACAGTTTTTAATTTACTTCACCATAATAATTCTATTTTCTTGTATTTTTTTTTCGTTACCCATTTCACCATTAACGAAATCATATATTTTACCACCATGTCTACAGTAATCATTTACTTAACCTATTTTATTTACGATTCCATCAAAGCTTTATTTTTTTTTATGGCTTACTCACTTATACATTACAATTTTTATTGGATTTTTTTTTTTTTTTTTATGAGTTTTTGGTTGTCAAATACACATTATTTAGTGGAACCTATATTATATATTACGCATCATTTACAATAAATATTATTGGGTGTTTCTTTCCGAAATATTTTTTTCCCCTTCTTTTATAAATATTTTTTTTCACCCCTGTTTTTACCCTCTATATATTATTCTTTTTATATCATTCTTTTTTATATAGTATATATATATATATTATTCGCTTTACTTATACAAGTTTATAAACCAAAATTATAAAAGTATATATATGTTGGTTTTATACTTGCATTGGGAAGAATTTAATTATGTAAATGTTTTTTTTTAATTGTTTTGACTATTGGTTTTTCTGTATAGTAAATACGTTCGTGCGTCGTGCGTACTTACGTGTCACCTAATTTATCTGATCGTTCTAATTAAAATTTAAAAACTCGAATTATCATTATCGTTATCGCTATGGCCAAAATCTGACTATATTAACGCTAACCATTTATAATTGATCTGTTAATACTCATTAGAATTATTTTGTTTTTGGACTTGTAGATGGATGTGCGTATGAAAGTCACTAAACAATCTAAACAATTCCAATTAAATTACAAGCACAAGCATTTTTAATAATTACATTTGTGTAAGTGAATATTAACCATCTGGCAACCTTCATACTGGAGATGCAAAACGGCTCGACCGCCTTCTATATTAAAACTGATTAATTGATAGTGTTGATGAGCCGATTTGCATCTTTACTTCATACTGACGTCAGACAATTTATACTAAAAATAGTAATTAAATTTTATTTATAAAATATATATAGATTTATTTTTTGAAGATTAAAAATAAGTTTTATCGTTATCTAAATCATATCAAGTTGATCTTTTGACTGTGCTAACCAAAATCCTCAATTCCCCAGGTTTGAGGGTGCGTCATTTATACAAATACAAACTTCTATCAACTACTTCAAATTAAGGTGTGTCATGGGATAGATTAGCCACAAAGGTGTTGCGCGTATCGTTCTATATCGATATAAAAAAGTCATGCGTACTATTTAATTATGCAATTGAATATATATATCAATTTTTTTTTACTCAAATGCTATATATCGACATACGTATAGTATGTTTTACGTATACGTACAGCATATACTCATTATACTGTATGCGTATACGTATTTTAAAATCTTGTATGATTTTTATGTATATAAAATTTAATTTTTTTTAAACAAATTTTTATATATAAGACAATTTATTAGTTTATATATAGTGTTTATACACGAATATTTATTAATTTAAATTCATGTAATAAAATTGTATAAAACACTATATAAACCAAAAATTAATCTAGTTTAAGGTTAAAGTTAGTTTAGAATTAAAAAAAATAGTTTGGTTTATATTTTGTTAAAAAATTTTAAAAACCATATCTGATATACTGTACTAAAATTTTGTAAAAAAATATTTATTAAAATTTTAAAAACCGGTTTATAATTAAAATTTTAAAATATCAATAGATTATATATATTATATATACTGTATATAGTATATAAATAAAAATTAGTTAATTATAATTTTTGAAGCTATATATATTTTAAACTAATTTAAAAAATTATATAACATAATAAGTAACAGTTAAAAAAAATCTGTAAATTATATTTTTTAAAATATTTATTTTTAATAAAAATATTTTTTAAAAAAATTAAATATTTACAATAATACAAAACAACTCTTTCTGGTAATCATTTTTACCAACTAGTACTGAAAGCAAGTTGAAAACTCAAGACCAGAAGTTAACATTTTGAAGTTTTTTTGATACGAACTGTTGTCAACAAAGTTTTTAAATATGATATACTGAGGAGCAGGTGTTTTGAATAGTGAACTCCTTTTTGTTTGGGGATGGAAACCGATGAGCGACGCACTACAGCACAGCACATTATAAAAGGTTTATTTAG